TTGCTGGGCGCGCAGGTTGGCGAATCGTTCGTCCTCCATGCGGCAGCGCATGTTGATGAGCCAGTCGTTGAGCAAACGGCCGCGCATGTGCATATAGGAGAGGCGTAGGACCTGTTGGCGATACCACCACATTTGCGTTACCTTGCGGCCCGTGGTGCCGAGGACGTCGATGCCCCAGCCCCGGCCTCCGAACGGGTACCAGAACGGGTAATTCAACGGCTCGTACAACGGGCTCAGTGGATGCAGATAGGTGGGTTTCTCGGCGGTTTTCAAATGAAAAACGACGGCTCGGGGATTCTTCTTCGGGTCGTGGTCGAAGTCGACAATGCCGGCTACCTCGTCGACGCCCTCGCGCCACTCGAGGGCAATGTCCGCCTCGGGCGCCGCGGAAGACTTCTCCGAGAGCCGGTGAATGAGCGCCACGTGGTCATTGCGGGGGGCGATGAGGCGTTCGAGTCGCTGGACGATGTCACGCGGCAGCCCATGCTGGGCAGCCACTGCGAATCGTTCGCACGGCTCGACGACGAGGTACCTGAGCGGGACCTGGTCGGTGGGGGCGAACACGCGTCTGTACATGGCCCCGTGGATGCGGATGTTCGAAGGTTTCCGGGCGTCGCCAAAACGGAGCTCTTTCTCCGCGGTGCTGGATTGGATTTCGCGTTGCGCGAAAGCGAAGAGGCCATTGCACTTGCGGGACGCTGCAGCGAAGCCGGTCAGCGCGATGGCGTTCGTCTTCGCGTCGCGTAGGACGATCTTTCAGCGGCCAAGTAGAAGCGCAAATGTCCAGGACCGGCCGGTCGGGAGCCCTGAAGAGACCGTCGAAGTCGACGATCTGCGCGCCCCCGTTGCAACAGAAAGCGTCAGTCCCGCACTGGAAGATGACCGCCCCGCAGAGCGGGCACGGCGAGTTCAGCGAGCCCAAGTGGAAGGTCTGCGTTGCAGGGCGGCCCGCGCGCGTGGAGGTGGGGGAGCAGTCCGCGCACACGGGGTTTTTGGCGCGGCGGTGGTCGACCGGGAACGCGGCCCAGGGTAAGACTAGCCCACAGGTGCCGCACGCCGCTTCGTGGACGGCGCGGGCATCTCCACTGCGTCGAGTAGCCTGGGCCGCGCATTGCTGGCAAATGCGGGAGCTCCTTTTTCTCTGGTCCAGCGCGGACTCTGATCGAGGTCTAACGGAAAGGCACTCAGCGCACGTGAGGAGGGCAGTGGGTTGGGCCACATGCGCGGGGCAATCCTTACAACGCTTGTCCTTTTTGCGCAGCTGGGTGTCCGTGAACATGGTGCGACTACGCACGCGGCCGCACGCGAAACAAAGGAATTCATTATGTCGGGCGGGCATGCGGCAAGCCGAACTGGGCTCGACTGGCAAATGTCTGCGGCGGCGGGGAAGCAGAGGCCTCGGGGAGCGGGCGCGGGTCGGCTAGCGGGAATGAAGTGGATCTCAGAAAACGGCCCCCCTCCCCCGAATCAAACAGGGCCCAAAGAGGCAGGGGCGCGGTCATGACCGCGAGGGGGGTCGCGGTCAGGCCGCCGCGGCCGCCATGACAGGAACACCGGCAGCGCGGACGGCGTCGGCGTGCGACGATGGGGGGATGGTGCGTTTCGGTCGGCACCGTTTTCGGCTGGCAAATGTCTGCGGCGGCGGGGAAGAGGAGGTTCCGGGATGTGGGCGCGGGTCGGCTAGCGGGAATGACGTCGATTTCAGAGAACGCCCCCCTTTCCCTCGATGAAACGGGGCCCAATGAAGCAGGGGGGGCGGCCATGACCGCGAGAGGGGTCGCGGCCATGCCGCCGCGGCCGCCATGACATGAACAGTGGCAGCGCGGACGGCGTCGGCGCGCGACGACGGGAAGACGATTTGTTTTGGTCGGGAAGCTCGAGGGGTGCGCGAGGGAGGGCATGCGGGTTGCGCGCGCACGTTGGCTGGCAGGGCAATCCTGGCCGGGTGCACGGCTGCGCGCTGGTTGGGCACGACGTGCGCCACGAGCACAGCGCAGACAGCACGAGCTATTGAAAAATACCCACCCGTGCGCGCAACAGAACAGAGCGAAGCTGGTCGTCGTCTGCGGCAAGTCTCAGACATGTCGGGCAGGGCGCTTGCGCGGCGGGCCCGCGAGGGGCGCTGCCGGGCGCTTCATGGCCGTAGTCGCGCCTCCCGAGCTAGCGCTCGTCGTCGGAGGCGGCGCCGCAGACAGGCCGACGGCCAGGTTGCTCACGGCGCAAGAGACGATCGCGGGGCACTTGAGCTGCACGTCGCGGAAGATTTTCGCAGCGGCGGGCGGCGCGTTGGAGCAGACGGAGATGCTGAAGTTCAGGAGCTCGCGGATGACGCAAGTCCTGCCATTGTGCTGCGCGCCCTCGCGCGCGAGCGCCAGGCGGGAGGCCAGCGGCTCAGCGCGCACCTTCCACTCCGCCTTGTCGGCAATGGGCGGCACCGTGAACGCGGCGTCGAAGAATGCTTTGCGGAACAGCAGATCCCCCAACTCCGCGACGTGCGCGGCGGCGAATTTGGCGGACGTCGCGGACGTGCCCACGGCGGCGACGACGAAAGCCCGCGATTTCCCCTGCGTCGGGTTGTTAGCAGCCACGGGCGGCCGCATCTGCAGGTCGGACCGCTCCACGGCGCGCGGCGGGCCGGGCACGTTGAAAGCCGAGATGGCGCGATTCGCGAGCGTGTTCGCGCCGCGGCGCTGCGAAGGGGCGCCGCCCTTGAAAGACTTGTTGTCGAAGAAGGTGATATGCATCCCCGCGTTCTTCACGGTCGTGGTGTCCAGCATCTCCACGCGGCACTGGATCGTATACAACGAGGCGTTCTGCCGCTGGGCGCCTGCGACTCCGGCAGGCGGAGCGGCGGCGCCCTCGTAGATGCGATTCTGCGTCTTCGCCGGCATGGCGCGTGGTCGAAGAGTTCAGGAACGAAGCGCCTCGGCAAGACGCGAAGGAGACAGACTTGCAGATTAGGCCGCCTTGAGCATGATGGCCATGGCGGCGAGGAAGAGTGAGGAAGGGATATGACGGCAACTCACGTGAGCCCCGCGATGGAGGAGGCGACGATGGCAGGAGCAGGAAGGACATGGGGAGACACGCAGGAAGGAATGTAATAAAGTTAGTGGCACGGGCGAAGTTTGACCGCGAGGGGGGTCACGGCCACGGTCGTCAGCCACGCGGTCGAAGGGGAGGAAGAGGGTAGGACGCGCAGGAGGAGGAGGAGAAGGAGGAGGAGGAGAAGAATGATCAGAAGGAGGAGGAGGAGGAGCAGGAGGAGGAGGGAGGCGGAGAAAAAGGAGGAGAGTACGGATTCGGCTCTGTACCGAAATCACACATGGCGTTTGTGCTGGGGTTTGAATTTGTTTTCGGGCTCAGTTGTTCGGGCGATATGGTCACTGGGCGGGCCCAACCAAGATGGCCCAAGAGGGCTGAAGAGGGCCCCGATACGGGTCGAAGACGACCGAAGACGGCTGCGGAAATGGCGAAAGTGGCGCAATATGTTGGCGAAGACGGCCAACATGGCCTATGAGAGACGGCCAAAACTGCCTGCCAGATAGCTGGGATGCCGCCGCATGGTTTGCGCAACGGTCGAACATGGCCCCAAGACGGCCGAAGTGACCCCAGACGCACCCGGGCACCCCAGGTGGCTCCACGACGGTCCCAGATAGGCAGAAGTCTGTGGAGGTTCACGAAGTGACCGAGGAGCAGCAGGAGGGAGGAGGAGGAGGAGGAGGAGGAGCAGGTAGGCGAGAGAAGGGGGGAGGAATGTAATAAGGGTAAAGACAGGAGCGGTTGACCGCGAGGGGGGCCCCGGTCATTGTCGCCAGCGACGTGGTCGAAGGGGAGGAGGAGGGCAGGACGCGCAGGAGGGGGAGGAGGAGGAGGAGGAGGAGGAGGAGGAGGAGGAGGAGGAGGAGGCGGAGGAGGAGGAGGAAGAGGAGGAGGAGGAGGAGAAAGAGGAGGAGGAGGAAGAGGAGGAGGAGGAGGAGGAGGAGGAAGGCGGAGAAGAAGGAGGATGGCACGGAGTCGACTCAGTGCCAGAAGCACATATGGTGTTTAGATTGGGGTTTGAATTCGTTTTCGGGTTCAGTTGCTCGGGCGATATGGTCACTGGACGAGCCCAACCAAGATGGCCCAAGAGGGTTGAAGAGGGACCCAATACGGGTCAAAGACGATCCAATATGGCTTCGGACTTGACGAAGGTGACGCAATATTATGGTATATGGTGGCGAAGACGGCCAACATGGCCTATGAGAGACGGCCAAGATGGCCTGCCAGATAGCTGGGACGCCGCCGCATGGTTTGCGAAACGGTCGAACGGGCGGAGACACGACGAATATAGGTCTGGCAGCGGGGCGAAGCTGGCCGCGGCAGCCCGGCAAGACCGAGGGCGCCGGGCCGAACGCAGAAAACATTCACGCAAAGCAACAGAAGTGCAGGTAAGGGGGAAGGGGCGGGGGGGAGGAGGAGAGGGGGGGCACGCGACGCCGACGACGTCGACCACCGGGCGGGGGGGTTGAAGGGGGAAGGGAATGCGGCAGCAAACTGGTGGCTGTTGCGGGCAACCACAGCCGCAGCGGCGCCGGGGTGCCCCAGCATCGGGTCGAAGCTGGCCGCGGCAGCCCGGCAAAACCGAGGGCGCCGGGCCGAGCGCAGTGTGTATTCATGTAAGGAAGAAGAGACAGGGACAGAGGGGGGAGCAAGGATAGTGGGGGAAAGGAATGGGAGAGGGGCAGAAGGGCTGCAGGAGGAGGGGGGGGCACGCGACGCCGACGACGTCGACGAGGAGACGGAGAAGGAAGGGGGGGGGGAGGAATGCGGCAACAGACTGGTCTCTGTTGCGGCCAAGCGCGGCTGCAGAGGTGCTGGGGGGCTCGGCGTCACCGGCGCGTCGTCGCGAAGGCCTTCAGGGAAGCCTGCCGCTTGGCGGGCGGCTCGTCGACGGCATTCTTCTTCATGAGGGCGACGGCGCTGGTGGCGCGGGGGGCGCACATCAAGTTGGCGCTCATGGATCACGGGCCCAGCGCTGCCAAACCGACGCGGAATCTGCGCGTGCGGAATTGTCCGCTGGCTGGCACCAGCAGCGCGCCACTCGGCAGGGCGTGGCCCAACTCGCCCACGCGGACGAGGAGGTCGTCGTTGTGCAAAGTTTTCAGAGTCTTCACGGATTCGCACATCTTGCGCTCGGAGTCGTTGAAGCTGAGTGTAGGCCCCGGAAACTGCAGACCTTGCAATTCGGGACGAGTTCGGAGGTGCTCGACGAGGCGAATGCCGAGCGCCCGCCCCGCCGCAGAGTTCCAAGTTGCCGGGAAGTCGACGGCCGTGTAGGCGAGGCGTAGGTAGGAGTAGCAACGCGGACCCACCGCACGCATTTCGGATGACTCGGAGATCTCGGCTGGGCAATCCGAGCACATCTGCCACGCATGGAAGTGGCTCGTGCCGCCGACAGACCTGAAAAAATGCCACAGACGGTCGGTCGTAGTCATCTTCGGCCACTCCCGGGCCGCGGCCTCGCTCATGCTGAAAAGCACGGGGCCGCTGGCGTTCTTCTTGGAGGTCTTCAAAAGGACGCGCGCAGACTGGGCCAAGTCTTCGTGGGGCCCGTCAAGGAAGCCCGTCGGCAGAGAGTGCAGGAGGTCCCAGACAGCGACGATTCGCATGCGGAGTTCTTTCTTGCTCTCGCCGGGGAGGATGCCATCGCCCAGGCTGGTTTTCTCGAGGAGGCCATCCAACGCGCCCGCGTCGATGGTGCAGCAGCGGTCGCACTTAAGCCTGAGGGCCCTCCATGAGGGCGCAGACGGCGTCCAGAGAGTAGGTCCTGCGCCCGGTGTAGACCAACCACGTGTCCGCTGGCGCGCGTGCGTCGCTGGGGCGAAATGAAAGGTGAATGCCCCGATGGCTGCCCCGACGGGTGTCCTTATGGTTGTCCCGATGGCTGCCCCGAAAGGGGTGCCGATGGCTGTCCTGATGGGTGTCCCAATGGCTGCCCCGATAGGTGTCCCGGCGCTGTCCCGGCGGGCGCCCCGATGGCTGCCATGAGGGTTGCGCCGGCGGTTGGTTGCACGGGCGCTGGAACGCGGCGCCGGCATGCCCAGGCGCGCGTTCGACGGGAACGGGCGCGAGGCGGACATGCCAGAGGCAAGGCGATACTCGCCCCAGCTCTTGGCCGCGGAGATCACACGCCGGATCTCCTGGGTCACCTTGTCGAACTCCCGCGATGTCTCGCAGAAGAAAGCACTGGTCATGACGGTGGCAATCCCGGATTTCAAGGGCACGGGCTCCGATCCCGAGGCCGGCGGCGTCGCGTCTGCGGCCAGGGAAGGGTCGAGGAGCAGCCGGGCGCGACGGCGTCTGTCGCGCCCAAGCCAGCTGGCGCGGAACAGCGCAAGCATTCCAGGGTCTATCTGCGAGAGGCCGGGGACGTCGGCAGTTGATTCCAGGCAATGGGCCGAGCAAAACGCGAGCTGCATCATGTGCCTGCGATCCCGTGAGTCTTGATTTTGTCGTCAAGAATGAAAGATGTGTTCGTGCAGCCGCGGAAGTCCAGATCTGGCCGGAGGGTGGTTATTTGACTACGTATATATATATATATATATATATATATATATACACCTAAATATATACATATGTACATACGCATATATATATATATACATATATATATATGTATACATACATATATATATATGTATTATGTATACATACATAAATACATACATACATACACAAATATCTATATATATATATATGTATATAAATATATGCATAGCATATCCGCCTTTTGGGTCGTCGCAGCGCCCAACACGGCACGACGGGCCCCCGATATCGCCCCAAGGCGGCCACAAGACTGCCCTGGAGAGCCCCGAGACTGCCAACAAGAAGCCCAGGACGCCCCCAGAAGGCCCCCAAGAGAGACCCGCGAAAGCCATGGGAGACCCCCAAGAAGGCAATTTGAAGCCCCCAAGAGGGCACCAGATGGTTTCAGGAGACCTCTCGAGGGCCCCAGCTCCCCAAGACGGCCCAAGAAGGCCCCAAGACGGCCCAAGAGGGCCCCAGGGCGGCCCAAAAGAGCCCCCCCAAAAAAATGCGTTTTCTGGGCTCCACATCACCCTCTCTCTCTCTCTCTCTCTCTCTCTCTCTCTCTCTCTCTCTTCTCTCTCTCTCTCTCTCTCTCTCTCTCTCTCTCTCTCTCTCTCTCTCTCTCTCTCTCTCTCTCTCTCGCTCTCTATCTCCTCCTCCCGCTGCCTTCTTCGTCGACCTCCACGTTCGTGGCATCCGATGGACATCCTCATTCGCCCGCTCCTTCCTCTGGACCTTCCCCCGTTCCCCCCCTCCTCGCCCCCCCTTCCGCCTCTTCAGCCCCCCCCCCATCATGCCCGTTCTCAATCCCCGTTCATGGACAGGCGCCGTCGCAACAGTTTGATGCTTCGTCGTTCGCCGGCACCTTCGCGCGTCAACATATCACGATCATTGCCCCCCTCCTGCGCACAAGCGCGCAAGCGCATCGGGCGAACGCGGTGTCAGCAGGAATCAGGGATATCAGAATTATTCACTGCGTGGGGATCCCCATATGTGCATCTCCTTGCTGGCGCCCCCTTGGTGGTGGGACTCGGTGAGGACGAATCTGGATTTAAGTGTGACTGAGCTGCCTCTCTCTCTCTCTCTCTCTGCTCTCTCTGTCTCTCTCTCTCTCTCTGCCCTCTCTCTGTCTCTGCCTCTCTTTCCCTCTGTCTCTGCCTCTCTTTCCCTGCCTCTCTCTCTCTCTGCCTCTCTCTCTCTGCCTCTCTTTCTCTCTCTGCCTCTCTCTCTGTGCCTCTCTCTCTCTGCCTCTATCTCTGCCTCTCTCTCTCTCTCTCTCCTCTCTCTCTTCTCTCTATTCTCTCTCTGCTCTCTCCTCTCTCTCTCACTCTCCCTCTCTCTCTCTCTCGCTCTCTCTCTTCTCTTCGCTTCTCTTCTCTTCTCTCTCTCTCTATCTCTCTCTCTCTCTTTCTCTCTCTCTCTCTATCTCTCTCTCTCTCTCTCTTCCCTCGCTCTCTCTCTCTCTCTCTCTCTCTCTCTCTCTCTTTCGCTCTCTCGCTCTCTCTTGCTCTCTCTCGCTCTCTCGCTCTCTCTTGCTCTCTCTCGCTCTCTGTCGCTCTCTCTCGCTCTCTCTCTCTCTCGCTCTCACTCGCTCTCTCTCGCTCTCTCTCGCTCTCCCTCGCTCTCTCCCGCTCTCTCTCTCTCTCTCTCTCTCTCTCTTCTTTCTTCTCTCTTTCTCTCGC